GCCAGAAATCAGTGCCTTTTATAGCTATCTGTTTTCAAGGGTTGAATTTTCCCAGCCCAACACGTCTGGAGGATAGAACCCCCAATGAAGGGGCTTTTCATTCTTAGTCCCGTGACCTTCAAGCAGGGACAGCCCTTGCCATGTGGCCTGGCCTATTTAATTTTTGTGCTGAATCTGCATCCCTGGATGGTGGTTCTGTTTTCACCCATCCTAATTCCAGGATGACCTCATCTTCAGATCCCTAACTAATGACTTCATTTCAAGTTCTTGGCTTTAAATATATGGACATATCTTTCTGGGGGCTACCATTCAATCTACTACAATGGTATCCAGTTTCTTCTGGAGGCTCTAGGGAAAGATCCTTTCTGCCTCCTCCCACTCCTAGTGGCTCCAGACACTGGAGGTCTTATTTGGCTGGTGGTCTTATTTCTCCATTTCCACATGGCCTTTTCTTCTGTGCTTGTGTCTCCTCTTCTCTTAGAGGGACAGCCTAACTGAATTTGGGATTCATCCTAATCCAGAATGATCACCTCTTAACTAATTAAATCTCCAGAGGGCCCGTTTCCAAATAAGGTCCCATTCTGAGGTTTCAAGTGAACATGAATTCTGAGGGGTCACTGTTCAAGACACCATGACACAAGTCTTGTTTTTTAAATTCATTTATTTTTCTTTTTTATATTTTGACATTTCATCAGAGCAAAAATTTCCCAACAAATGGCATTTGTGGTGTGTGCTTCCCTGGGTAGCTGGGGACTTACCATTGATGCACATGGATTATCGAAGTAAAAGTGGGTCAGCCGAGTTCCCTGTATCCTTTTGTGAGAACCTACAGTGTGCAAATGCCAAGGCATTTCTGTTTGTCCTGGCTCATGGCTCATGAAACTCTTGATCTTGCTAAGAAATGACTTCCATACCACTATCTCTTGATATCTTTCAGGGTGTGACTATAGTTTGAGGCTTCATGAACAGTGAGAACATCAACCAAACAGAGCTAGATTTTTTGCACTTTCATGATATGGGAGGTCTGTGTTGGCTTGCAGTATATTCTACAGCTGTCCCGTCATCTGAGAATCAAAAGAACTGTGATGGTCTCACAGGACTACCAGGTTCATATGCCTGCTGCACAGTAACATACCAATACACTGAGATAGCAGGGTTTACAGCAGAGAAAGAATTTAATAATTTCAGGACAATCGGTGCAAACATGAGAGGAGACCTCAAATCCATCTTTTTTATTTTTATTTTTTTGAGGCAGAGTGTCACTCTGTTGCCCAGGCTGGAGTGCAGTGGTGCAGTCTCAGCTCACTGCAACTTCTGCCTCCTGGGTTCAGCAATTCTCCCACCTCAGCCCCCCTGGTAGTTGGGATTAAAGGAGCCCACCATCATGCCTGGCTACTTTTTATACTTTTAGTAGAGACAAGATTTCACCATGTTGGCCGGGCTGCTCTCGAACTCCTAACCTCGGGTGATCTGCCTGCTTCAGCCTCCCAAAGTTCTGTCTGTGATTACAATGTGTGTGCCATTGTGCCTGGTCTCAAATCTATCTTTCCAAAGAGTTCTGGGCTGGGTTTTTTAGGGAAATCATGGAGGGTCTTGGGGTCACTGATAGGTTGGGGTAAGAGGGAATGAAATAATCAGAATATAGAAATGGCATGCTTTGTTAAGTCAGCTTGTCATAGGGTCCTTGAGAGCATCTGACATCAGTAGTTTTTCTGGTATGTAGGACCTGAGAGGTTACCGCAAATAGAAAACTTAACATTTCATAATGTTTTGTTATCATCCCGTAACAGGGTCTATGTGATTCTAGGACAAACAGTTACCAAACTAATAGGAAGACATAGAAAGCAAATTGACCTCAGGATCAAAGATGAGTATACTGCAAGCTTAGTTCATTTTGTTTCTCCCCATCCCTTCCTCTCTGATTGACTTTATGAAGTTTATAGAAACCATTTCAGTAGCATCACCAAAGGGGTTGGGGAGCAGTTGAGGTGCTGGAGGATCGAATCCATTTCATGCAGGATGGAGCCCTTGGGTGGACCCACTCTATCTTCTGCAGCATGGAGAAGAAGGAAAGACGTCACGTCTGTGAGAAGCCAAAACACATTGTTTTTCACATTCATAGATGTTGAAAATTCACAAGTAGTGTCATTGATGTCTTCTCAGGCACCGTGAGGAACCTTTCCTCCTCTTCTTCTCCTTTCTTCACGTGCACGTACCTCTCCCCACCACCGACGATTTCATTGGCACCAGCAAGCATGGCTTATATGGGGACAATGTGGAAGAGATGGACTCCATGGTGGGTAGGTTGGAGGACCTAAGTGGACAGAAACTAACGTGTTCTGATAGTACAGGACACTGAAAACTGCTCTTGGTCAACCTGTGAAGTGAAGAGAATTATAACCATGGGACACGGTTTGTCTGAGACGTAAATGAGCTAATAGTTACAAGCAATTGAGAAAGTCAGAAAAATACCATATGCAGTTCCTCTCCTTTCTTTGCATGCCATCCGCTTAGTAACTGGGGTCTTTGTCTACTTGACTGCATCTCCAGTGCTGGCCAGACCACAAATTAGACCTTCTTTTTCAAATTTTCAACTCTTATTTTAGATTCAGGGGCTACATGTGCAGATTTGTTACCCGGGTGTATTGTGTGATGCTGAGGTTTAGGATATGATCAAACCCTTCATCCAGACACTAAACATAGCACCCAATAGTTAGTTTTTCAACCCTTGCCCCTACTGGTAGTCCACAGTATCGATTGTTTTTGATGCTACGCTCCCACTTACTTTGTTTGTTTTTAAAAATAAATTTTATTGTGTATGTTTGAATATATTTTAGAGACAGAGTCTTGAGAAAATGAACTATTATTAATGCCAAAAGTTGTTCATTATGGCATTTTAAATTATGGCAAAGTATGAAAATTAACCAAAATAGTGAACAACAGTACATTGGTTAAACACTTATCATCACTTGATTAAGTGGTATCTTCCCGTTTTCTCCCCACTGTAAAGTTACTTATTTTCTCATTACTTATTAATTTGAAATTATTAACAATTTTATGGGAAATACTTTGAGAGGAAGCCAATATCTTGGTTCTTATCAAACTTTCAGTGCCAGGTTTAACATCCATTGATCATTTTCTCTTGGCTCAATTTCAGTGTGAGTTTTGCTAAAAGTATTGTGGTAATTTTTTTGAAGTATTTAAAAATATAAATTATTTCTTAGTCTTGTCCTTACCTGTGTGTCTTGGCTCTAGAAAATCTCTAAGATGCAGTACTTTAGGAATGTTAATGTAATGTTATCTGAGATAACCAACAGTAGAGCACACAGAATTGGACACATTTGCGACTAATGAGTTTTTCCATAATTATGCACAATACAGACTGGGTTTGGGAACTGTAGGTTTAAATCAGGCAAGTGCCAATGCCAAGCTGGAAGCAAACTCACTGTTTCTGTACCGCACTTCTGGTTCCTGTCCGTCACTTTACTTTTTTTGTTGATTTGTTCTGACCACGAGGCACCCCTGGAGTCTCTCTAAATCTGCTGTGATTCTGGAGGCTGCCCAATTTAATCATTTCTCTTCTTTGCTCAATGAAACTCCATCAATTTTCATTTGTCTCAAGTTTCCGTTTTTTTTATTATTATTTTTTTATTTATTATTTATTTTGTTATTGCATTTTAGGTTTTGGGGTACATGTGCAGAACGTGCAAGACAGTTGCATAGGTACACACATGGCAGTGTGTTTTGCTGCCTTTCTCCCCTTCACACAGTTGTCATTTTTCCCCAGGCTATCCCTCCCCACCTCCCCCTCCCCACTGGCCCTCCCCTTTTCCCCCCAATAGACCCCAGTGTTCAGTACTCCCCTCCCTGTGTCCATGTGCTCTCATTTTTCATCACCCACCTATGAGTGAGAATATGCGGTATTTCATTTTCTGTTCTTGTGTCAGTTTGCTGAGAATGATGTTCTCCAGATTCATCCATGTCCCTACAAACAACAAACTCATCATTTCTGATTGCTGCATAATATTCCATGGTGTATATGTGCCACAGTTTCCCAATCCAGTCTATCATCAATGGGCATTTGGGTTGATTCCAGGTCTTTGCTATTGTAAACAGTGCTGCAATGAACATTCGTGTACATGTGTCCTTATAGTAGAATGACTTATAGTCCTTTGGATATATACCCAGTAATGGGATTGCTGGGTCACATGGAATTTCTATTTCTAAGGCCTTGAGGAATCGCCACACTGTCTTCCACACTGGTTGAACTAATTTACACTCCCACCAACAGTGTGAAAGTGTTCCTATTTCTCCACATCCTCTCCAGCATCTGTTGTCTCCAGATTTTTTAATGATCACTGTTCTAACTGGCATGAGATGGTATCTCAATGTGGTTTTGATTTGCATCTCTCTGATGACCCGTGATGATGAGCATTTTTTCATATGTTTGTTGGCCTCATATATGTCTTCTTTTGTAAAGAGTCTGTTTATATCCTTTGCCCAATTTTGAATGAGCTTGTTTGTTTTTTTCCTGTAAATCTGTTTGAGTTCTTTGTAAATTCTGGATATCAGCCCTTTGTCAGATGGGTAAACTGCAAAGATTTTTTCCCATTCTGTTGGTTGCCAATTCACTCTAGTGACTGTTTCTTTTGCCGTACAGAAGCTGTGGAGTTTGATTAGGTTCCATTTGTCTATTTTGGCTTTTGTTGCCAATGCTTTTGGTGTTTGATCATGAAGTCCTTGCCTACTCCTATGTCCTGGATGGTTTTGCCTAGATTTTCTTCTAGGGTTTTGATGGTGCCAGGTTTTATGTTTAAGTCTTTAATCCATCTGGAGTTAATTTTAGTGTAAGGTGTCAAGAAGGGTCCAGTTTCTGCTTTCTGCACATGGCTAGCCAGTTTTCCCAACACCATTTATTAAACAGGGAGTCCTTTCCCCATTGCTTGTTTTTGTCAGGTTTATCAAAGATTGTATGGTTGTAGATATGTTGTGTCCTCCGATGCCTCTGTTTTGTTCCATTGGTCTATTTCTCTGTTTTGGTACCAGTACCATGCTGTTTTGATTACTGTAGCCTTGTAGTATAGTTTGAAATCTGGTAGTGTGATGCCCGCCGCTGTGTTCTTCTTGCTTAGAATTGACTTGGCTATGCGGGCTCTCTTTTGGTTCCATATGAAGTTCATGGTGGTTTTTTCCAGTTCTGTGAAGAAAGTCAATGGTATCTTGATGGGGATAGCGTTGATTCTGTAAATTACTTTGGGCAGTATAGCCATTTTCACGATATTAATTCTTCCTAACCAAAATGTTTAAGAATTTCCACAGGGTGCCAGCAGAGCAGAAGGAAAAACAACAACAATAACAACTGTTTCCTCTCTCCTTCTCAATTCTCCAGCTACCGCCCTGGAAATTAAACTGACAAAAGAACAAAAGAAAAACAGAGTTTATTCAGACATGCCGTGCACATCCACATGGGGTGAAACTCAGTGACGAGTAACTCAAAAATGTGGTTAGAGCTTGGAGGGCATAGAACAAATCACCCAAGAATACCTTTGTCAAGAAAGAAAAAGGCCTTTTAAGCTTCTAGCAGCTGCAAATTTTGGGAAGATAAATACAGGAGGGAAATGAATGGGAAATTGAGTAAGCTTTCTTACATGTAGATTTCTCTAGGCCTATGTCTCTGGTAATTAACAGTCTAAGCTTACTTTTAGGCAAATAGAAGAGTGCAGAGAGTTTTGGGATTTTTTTTTTTCCACTCCCTTACCTGACTTGCTTATATCGTGTTGAGTAAAAAAAGCATGAGATCATGTCCTTTGCAAGAACACAGATAGAGCTGGAGGCCATTATCCTCAGCAAACTAGCGCAAGAACAGAAAACCAAATACTGCATGTTCTCACTTATATGTGGGAGCTGAATGATAAGAACGCATGGACTCGAAGAGGGGAACAACACACACCGGGGCCATTGGGAAGGTGGAGGGTGGGAGGAGGGAGAGCATCAGGGAGGGAAAACAGCTAATGGGTATGTGAATCCAGAACATCTGAGACAGGTCTCAGTGAACTTAGAAAGTTTTGCAAAGGTTGAGGATGTGCCCGTGACACAGCTTCAGGAAGTCTTGACCACATGTTCCCAAGGTGGTTGCAGCACAGCTTCGTCTTATGCATTTAGGGAGACATGAGACATCAATCAATATATGTAAGAAGTACATTGGTTTGGTCTAGAAAGGCTGGGAGACTCAAGCAAAAACAGGAAGATTCGAAGCCGGGAGAGGGTTTCCAGGTCCCAGAGGAACAGTTGCATTCTAATGAGTTTCCGATGAGCCTTTCCAAAGGAGGCAATCACATATGCATCTATCTCAGTGAGCAGAGGGGTGACTTTGAATAGAATGAGAGGCAGGTTGGCCCTAAGCAGTTCCCAGGGCCCCCAGTATATATTACCTTTTCATAGTTTCTAAACATAACAACTGGGTGATGAAATAATCTGTATAAAAAACCCCTACGAGAGTTTTCTTTTAGCAGATCTTGTTTCTCAATTGTCTTCAGCTCAAAATAACCCTTATGTCAAAGTGATATCTTTTGGGGTGACTTATTCTGCTCTCCTACAGCAGCCTTAAGCAAAGTTTGGAGCTGTCTTGCAGAAGACCACCAGGATGACCAAAGAGTGTAATAGAAAGGAGAGTTGCATTGGTGAAGTTGGGTTGCAGACTGTGAAGTTAGAGTCCCTGGCATAAACAGAAGGTGCTCTCTCTCTCGCTGAAGAGGGAAGAGAGGCTGGGGCCTCATGCCTCATAGGGATCATATTACACAATGGAGTCATGCATATCCAGCAGGTTTGGGGGGAACTATACATATTTATGAGGGGAGCTGACTGCATGCCTGATGGGTAAACATATACATAACATATGTCCCATGTCCACTTTAGGGCTATGTTTTTGTGTTAAAATGAGGTAGGGTATGGTGGCTCATGCCTGTGTAATCCTAGCACTTTGGGAGGCCAAGGCAGGTGGATCACTTGAGCTCAGGTGTTTGAGACCAGACTGGGCAACAGGGTGAAACCTCGTCTGTACAACAAATAAAAATAAAAGAATTAGCTGGGCATGGTGGCACGCGCCCGTGGTAACAACTATTTGGGAGGCTGAGGTAGGTGAATCGGTTGAGCCCGGGAGGTAGAGGCTGCAATAAGCTGTGACTCCACCATTGCACTCCAGCCTGGGTGACAAAGTGGAACTGCATATCCAAAAAGAAAAAAGAAATTTGGCTTCGTGTGTGAAGACAGTTTGTGTGAAGCCTCTATGCGGTGCTGAACCTGAAGTAAGGGCTGCAGTTACTTATCAGGAAAGAACGTGTGTAAGGCTGGTCCCCTGTGGGAATAGTGGTCTGGGTTGTCAAGCGTTACAAGGTGTCTGGCACAGTAGATTATGCTTGTAATCCCAGCACTTTGGGAGCCTGAGGCGGGCAAATTGCTTGAATTAAGGAGTTTGAGAACAGCCTGGGCAACATGGTGAAACTCCATCTCTACAAAAAATACACACAAAAAAATTAGTTGAGCATGTGACATGAACCTGTGGTCCCAGGTACTCAGGAGGCTGACCCGGAAGGATCACTTGAGTTCAGGAGGTTGAGGCTGCAGTGAGCCATGATCACACCACTGCACTCCAGCTTGGGCTGTAGAGCGAGACCCTGTTTAAAACAAGAGAGTTAGAAGGGTCTGATAATTTGCCTGGTAGCTCCACTTCTTAGGGAGTTTAGCAGAAGTGAGGTTTCTCTTACAGCCATAGGAATTGAGGAAGTTAGCACGCAAGTCTCTCTGTGAACTCTTAGCCGTAGCTAACTTTTCTTTCCGTAACCTCCAGGCCTGTTTTAGTTGCTAAAGGGGCATATATTTTGGTCTCTCTGATGACAGGGCCTTGTGCAACAGTGGAGCTCCTGCATCATGAAGGTCACCCTGAACATGGATAATATCACCCCAGACCACAGCTGCGGGCTTCACGGTAACTTGGGGCAAATGTCAGTCACTGTTTTCCAAAACACGGCTGAAGTTTCAGGTCTGACTACACAGGCACAGCCCTGTTCTTCGACTGGTCATGTTTAAGGTAAGAGCTTTACTTAAGCTGAGCACCAAAAGATGTGTTGAATTAAGCTTAGCCTAAAGCTGCCTCCTGACATATTTTAAGGTTTGCCTAGAAGTTTCTAACCTAACTGGATGTGTAAGCAGGAACCTCCTCTTGTACCAATCACAAAGCTTTGTCCGAAGGAAGTCAACTGTCCAAACCATGCTCAGACAAGGCCAGTGGTGAGCTGCAATGAATATGGCTCTTTCTGTCACTTTCCTTTTCTCGTCCATAAACCTCCTCTCACCATAAGACAGTGCCGGCATCTCTCTGAACCTGCTCTGGTTCAGTGGGTTATCCAATTTGTGAATCCTTCTTTACTCAATTAAACTCTGTTAAATTTATTTTACTTATTTATCTTTATTATTTATTTCTTTTAGAGACAGTTTCTCACTTTATCACCCCACCCAAACTGGAGGGCAGTGGCACCATCATAGCTCACTGCAGCCTTAACCTCCTGGGCTCAAGCGATCCACCCACCTCAGCCTCCCAAATAGCTAAGACTATAGGTGTACCTCACCTGCCTCAGCCTGCAGAGTAACTGGGGCCATAGGTCATAGGTGTGAGCCTCTCTCTCTCTTTTTTTTTTTTTTTTTGCTTTAGCTATTAGAAGAATGTTGGTGCCACTGGCAGAAATCTGATGGAGGAAGCTATGTGTTGTAAGCCGTGCGTTGGAGATGCCACTGAGCTATCTCAGGGGAAATGCCGGAGAGACAGTGGAAGGTGAAGGCTGGATGACAGGAGACTGTTGGTCTGGAGGTGAGACAGCGGCACTCGGGGATCCTGGCTTCAGCTGCACTGGGTGGTTTCCAGGCTTCAGCTATGCTGGATGGTTTTCTTTAGCATGTAAATTTATGTCTCATACTAGTTCAAGGCACGTCTGGCCCCACACATTTCTTTTGTCGTCACATTGCTTTTTGTTTTACTCCTCTGATGCTACAAAAGCTCCAGTATATACTTCTTTGAAGAACAAAGTCAGTCACCCTGGCTCATGCCTGTGGGCCCAGCACTCAGAAGGCCGAGGCAGGAAGATGGCTTGAGCCTGGGAGGTCGAGGCTACAGTGAGCTATGGATACACCACCATACTCTAGCCTGGGGGACAGAGTGGGACCCTATCTCAAAAGAAAGGAAAAAAAGCAAGATAGTGCATTTAAACGAAAGAGCGTTCTCTTAAAATGGAATAGGAAACACTTTCATTGAGTGGGCATGTGGCTCATGGCTGTAATCTCAGCACTTCGGGAAGCCGAGGTGAGAGGCTCACCTGAGTTGGAGACCAGCCTGGGCAATGTGGAACCAAAAACACCTGGGCGTGACCGTAACCAGGTTGCAGAAACCTATTCAGAAGCTTGTGCTGAAATCCACTATTCCATACCTTGCTATAAATAGCCGACTCTAAAGCCCTTTAATTAAAAACTTACTTCAGCAGCACTTCCACATACTTCTTTCTGTTTTGTTTCTTGCTCTTTCATCCAGGCTGGATTACAGTGGCGTGATCATGGCGCACTGCAGTCTCGTCCTCCCAGGCTGAATTGATCCTCCCACATCAGCCCCCTGAGTAGCTGGGATGGCAGGCATACATCCTCATACCTGCCTAGCTTTTGCATTTTTTTGTAGAATGTGGTTTTGCCATGTTGCCCAGGCTGGTCTTGAACTCCTGGCCTTGAGCAGTCCTCCTGCCTTGGCCTCCCAAAGTGCTAGCATTACAGACATGAGCCACTGTGCCCAGTCACATACTTCTTAACCCATAAACATTTAAGCTAACCCCCAGATCAGAGAGACAGATTTCAGCCCTGCCTCCTGTCCCCTTGCCAGTTGACCTCACAATAAAGTGCTAAAAAGAAAAAAAAAAACATACTGTACGGCACGGCATGGTGGCTCCCAGCTGTAATCCAAGTGCTTTGGAGGCTAAGGCGGGCAGATTGCTTGCACTCAGGAGTTGGAGACCAACATGGAAACAGCAAAACCCTGTCTTTACCAAAAATCTAAAGATTAACCAGGCATGGTGTGTGTGCCTGTGGTCGCAGCTACTCCGGAGGCTAAGACAGGAGGATTACTTGAGTCTGTGGCAAAAGCTGTGGTGAGCCAAGATGATGCCACTGCACTCCAGCCCGGGTGACAGAGTGAGACCCTGTCTTGACAACAACAAAAACCAAAACCCCCAAAGCAGTGTCCTAGCATTGGCTTATATGCATGTCTACGGGCAAGTCCATTGCTCAGCAGCAGAATGGGCAAAGCAACCCTGAAGAGTGGTAAGAAACCCTGTGTGGCTGGGAGACACAGAATGAGGTAAATGGTGGCAGACGCT